TTTTTTGGAATAGTCTGAGGGGGATATGTTTTAGTTCTTCCTTGAATGTTTGGTAAAACTCTCCTGTGAAGCCATCTGGCCCTGGGCTTTTGTTTGCTGGAAGCTTTTTGATGACTGTTTCAATTTCTTCCCAAGTTACTGTTCTATTGAGATTTATAGATTCTTCCTGATTGAGTTTTGGAAGGTTATATTTTTCTAGGAATATGTCCATTTCCTCCAGGTTGTTCAGTTTGTTGGAATAGAGTTGTTCGTAGTATTTTGTAACAATCCTTTGTATTTTGGCGGGGTCTGTTATTATTTCACCTCTTTTGTTTCTGATTTTGTTTATTTGGGTCCTCTCTCTTTGTTTCTTGGTTAGCCTGGCTAGAGGTTAATCTATCTTGTTTATCCTTTCAAAGAACCAGCTCTTGGTTTTGTTGATCTTATGTATTGTTTCTTTGGTCTCTATGTCGTTTATCTCTGCTCTAATTTTTTTATTTCCTTCCTTCTGCTTACACTTGGCTTTTCTTGTTGCTCTTTTTCTAACTCTTTGAGTTGTAGAGTTAGATCATTCGTTACCATTTTTTCTAGTTTTTTGCAATAGACTTGTAGGGATATGAACTTCCCTCTCAAAACTGCTTTTGCTGTGTCCCATAGATTTTGGATTGTTGTGTTTTCATTGTCATTTGTTTCCAGGATGTTTTTAATTTCTTCCTTGATTTCTCTGGTAACCCAGTCCTTGTTTAATAGCATGCTGTTTAGTCTCCATGTGTTTGATTTCTTTGGATTATTTTTATTGTAGTTAATTTCCAGTTTTATGCCATTATGATCTGAGAAGATGCTTGATATGATTTCTATATTCTTGAATTTGAAGAGACTTTGCCTATGTCCCAAAATGTGGTCTATCTTTGAGAATGTCCCATGTGCACTTGAGAAGAATGTATATTCTGTGGCTTTGAGGTGGAATGTTCTGAAGATGTCAATTAATTCCATCTGGTCTAGTGAGTCATTTAAGCTTGATATTTCTATGCTGATTTTTTGTTTAGATGATTTGTCGAAGGATGACAGTGCAGTATTAAAATCTCCTACTATGATTGTATTGCTATTAATCTCTCCCTTAATGTCCTCTAGCAGATTTTTATTTTTTTTATTTTTTTATTTATTTTTTATTTTTTATTTTTTATGTATTTGGATGCTCCTGTATTGGGTGCATATATATTTATCAGGGTTATTTCTTCTTGTTGGATTGCTCCCTTTAGTATTATGAAGTGGCCTTCATTATCTCTTGTTATGCCCTTCACTCTGAGGTCTAATTTGTCAGATATAAGTATTTCTACCCCAGCTTTTTTTTTTTTTTTCATTTCCATTTGCCTGGAAAACCTTTTTCCATCCCTTCACCGTCAGTCTGTGTGCATCTTTTCTTCTGAGGTGGGTTTCTTGTAGACAACAGATGTATGGGTCTTGTTTTCTTATCCAGGAAATCTAAAGCAGGAAAGGGTTAAGATAAACAGGATAGCAAAAAGGGGAAGATTAGAAAGAGAGTGATGGTGTAAAGGTCATGTTGAGATAGGGTTAAATAATGTTAAAGGAGAAATGAAATAAAATGAAGAACACTAATTCCAATGTAAAATAAAGAGAAAATAAAATGGCACTTAAAAAAATTAAAATAGCAGTAGTAAAAATGCTTATTGAACCTAAAAATGTAATAATTAAAAAGTTAAAATCTAGTGAGGAGAAAAGGAAAAAAAAAATTGTTTCTTAAGTAAAAGATGCAAAAAATTAAAATTAAAATAAATAAATAAAAAAAATAAATTTAGCAAAAAAAGTGTGCAGTTGTGAAGGCCATTCACTTCTGTTATTCTATTTGACATGCCCATTTCTCAGTCCAGACCGTATTGCATTTCCCTGCGTTCTGCTGCACCTCAGTGGTAATTCCTTAGTTTCTTGGTTGATAAAATAAAACTAATAATAAACACAGTCAGTTTGTACTCCAGACCCTAGGTGGCAGTGTATGTGGATTGATGTCCTGTCTTTTTGGCTGCTCTCGCCTTCTTTTTCTGTGGCGCTCAATACCGGGTTTTTTGTTTTTGTTTGTTTGTTTTTTATTTATTTATTTATTTTTTTGCCTCGGAGCTGAATCCTGGATGATTTCTCCCCACTCTGCTTCTCAGTTTCCAGAAAAGCAGATTCCCCCTGCTGTCTCTTAGGGCCAGCCAATCTGCGTGATCTCTCCTTTGTAATCAGAAGCAAAGGGTTGCAGGGGAACCACCCTAGGTGCGTGATGGGCGCGTCTGCGCGCACTTACAAACAGACTGCTTTCCAACTCCTATGTTCTCCCTCCATGTCGGATCAGAATGGATTGCTCCCCAGAGAACCCCACTAGTATCAACCTTGGGGACCCCCATCCACTCTCTCGAATCACACCAGACCCAACAGTGGGGGGCTTCTGTGGACGCAGATTTCCGGGGTCCCAGCGCGCGCTTTTTTGGCTGCCGCAGCTGCTGCTTTCACTTTCGCTGTTGGGACGCAGACACCCCGCGTTATCCCCAGCAAAATCCAACCTTTCTGTGGAATCCGAGTGTCCGCGCCAGTCGGGGCCCCACAGTTGTGGTCTTTTCAGGTCTCAGGTAAGATCCCCCGTTGCAGCACTGATATGGTTGTGGGAGGCAGCCCGTACAAGTGTTTACCTGGCCGCCATCTTCGAGGAACCCTCAGGAAGCAGTTCCAATTTGTATAGTTTGCTGTCAAAACAGTGTATGGGTACTTTCAAACATGATTTTGTTGACTTTATGTCAATGAATCCACAGGTGGACCAACTTTAGTTATGTTTCCATGTGCCCTGGGATAAACTTTGCAGGTTGCCTCCATCTCTCACTGTTCATGTATAAATTTTATTTTTTAATGATGAGGGGATAATCATATGGTTCTTACTTGAAAGTTATCAGTGACCATCTTACTGGCTTCCACCTGAATACGTAGAGATGTGTTACAGATCAGTGCTTCTCAAGCTTAAATGTGTGTTTGGGGTCACCTAGTGATCTTGTTAAGCTGCAGATTCTGACTCAGTAACTCTGGGCCAGAACAGAGTTAAAAGTATTACAGCTGACTAAGTGGCAAAGAGGGGATTTAAATTCAGGTCTGTTGAATCTAAAGGCTATCTCTTTTCCACAATGCTGAAATACAGAACTACAGTGCTGAATAATAAATGAGAGATTGTATTTAAGCCAAATTATTTAAGGAAGCTATTATCTGCAATGCTAAAACTTAGAAGTCTTGTTTCCCCAGAGAATAAAGAAAAAGTAGCTGGGGAAAAATAACATCATATTTTTTGAGGAAAAGACAATGATTGCATATAAGCCTAACCAGTGGTCATGGACAACAGGGAGATGGGGCATACATAGGGAGGGGTTTGGGATGGGAATGGGGGGATGAGGACAATTATATAACATAATCAATAAAGAAATAAAAATGAAAAAAAGACAATGATGACCTTACAGGAAAGAGATGAAATATGCAAAATAGAGTAAAAAATTATGAAAGACAGATGATAAATATTTACATTCCTAAAGAGAATAGTGAGAGTCACAATTTGCCACATTTCCAAAATAAGGACCCCATACATTCATACAAGGTCTCTGACCGTCCAAACATCTCCCAGGTGACAATCTAGGATGACACGACAAGAGAAGATAGTTCCGTGACAATGGAGCCCCCACTCCATTTCTGCAGCATTTTGGAAACCAGCCAGCTCTGCCAGCAGCCATGCAGCCTGCTGAGACAGGCTGTGAGCATGAACTTGTGAGCATGAACAGCTTATAAAATACAAAATGGAAGTTTTCTCTCTATGGTCAGTCCTTACATTTTCAATCAGTCCTCAAATGAGTCTGCCCTGTAAGGGCTAGAGAATTTTCCTTTTGATTCAACATTAAAGGCAGTTTTAACACTCTGCAGAAAGTGTACTCCTTGTATGTCCTCCATGAGACAATAAAACCCACTGTGTTAGATCAGGCTGAGGTGCTTTCTGCAGTATTTTATCTCTGCCCTTGGTGCTGAGTGAGGATTTTGAGAATACGGTGTCCTCTTTATCATTAACTGCAGAAGTTCAGAAGTGCCACAAAAACATCTCTAACTTCCATGATATCCTACTATCCTTCATTATTTAACATACTTACAGCCTTTCTGAACCAGAATCTGCCAGATTTGGTTTTACCTAGCACTTAGAGTTAGAGGTTCTTTTATTAGTCCTGATCTATTTTCAAAGAGCTTTCTTTGTATTTATTTTTTGTTGTGTTTTGTTCATGTATAACCTCCTTGATTAGCATCTAAATTATTATACTGCTTTATAATTATGGTTTAGGTGGTTTCTCTCTCATAGGATTGTGAATTCTTGAAAGGCTAACACTTGTCCTAGATTTTGTCTCATTGGAGCCTAGCATTTTGTCAAGCAAATAGTAGGCATTCAAGAAAAAACAGGATGAAAACATGAATAAACTCTAGTGCAGACATCTGATCATCACAGCCCAGTGAGTCCTCACTTAATGTCATCAATAGGTTCTGTGACTATAAACACAATGACATATAACAAAAGCAATTTTACCATAATTTATTCAAACAAGGGTTAGGTTTCTACGGAATCTCATCAACATTATAAGGAAATGACATTGAACGAATCCATGTTATTTGAGGACCTGCTGTATTGTTTATTCGGAAGAATCTAAATAAGAGTTTTTAGATAGAAGTTCCTTTATCTTTTTTCAGCTCCTTTAATTTTGATATACATAAATTTAGGAAACAATCAATTGAGGGCTCACTTATATTATTCCAACACTTTCCAGTTCTTTGCCTTTGAAATCAATAGACATTTACTGACTGTCCCCTGTGAGCTACAACTGTAAACAAGCTGCAGGACCAGCTCCCAAGAGTATACCCTCTTGTGAGGAAGCTCGTCATCCAGCCCGTGCCTTTTGTATACTTTGAAATAAAAAAACCCCAGAATATAACATATATGACATGTCACATACTTGATCAAACTGGGGATCTTCTCCACGTTGTAGGGATTTTGTCAATGGCTTTTCCTAGAAAGAAGAATATGTATGAGAAAATTAGAGGCTCTTAAATATTACAGTGAAATGTCATTATTACAATTTTTCTCATCTATTTCTCCCTTTATGGGATGAAGAGGTGACAGTTTTCAAATGAGTAAGAACATCCCTTACTTAACTCGTAGTATGTGATCTTTATTCTCATATACCCTCTTTTTAACCAAAACATTAGATATTTAATGCTATTATACTGCATTTTTCCATGGAAATCACATTATAAAAAACATGTAATTCGTTTTAGTACCTATCTTGGAACTTGAGAGATAATAAAATGTTGAAAGTGATACACTAGTCCAAGATCCCAGATTTAGAAATAAAACAAGGTTTAATTATTAGACTAATATTAAGGAATAACCTACAAATCACATCTTTACTAGTAAAATCAGTAAATTTGGGGGAAGTTACTTGACTTGCACCACATCTAAATCTCTGAAGAAATAATCTGGATAGTGACAAAGGTTTCCAAAAATATTTTTTCCTAATCATCACACCTTTGTTTACATTAGAAAGCTTTACATCACCTTCTAGCATTTTATAACTATTTATTCTTACCTGTTAGTTTTTATTTTATTTTGTTTTGTATGGAAGTTAATACTTATACAAATCTGGTTAGCATTAGAAACCATGCAAAAGTTAATTAAAAACCATCAAAAAATAATGCTGCACTTTAGCCAATGTAGCTGACTTAGGAAGACTCCAGTTACATTTTGTCAATCAGATAGATCCTCTCCTTGACTCATTTCTCTAACCTTCTCCTTTACTGGAAAAAAGAAAAAGAAAAGAAAAAAAAGCTACATACCTAAGGTGAATGCAAGCCCCACCTCACCCCAAATGCAAGTGCCACATCCACTAAACTAGAAGCTCCAGAAATGCAAGGCCTTCTTTTTGTTTCTCCTAGCACTTGAAGTTACAGACAGAGCATTGCTTGGTAATGGTCAAATATTTGTCACATTAATCTAAGTCTAGGCCAATGACACCCAGTTTCTTTAAATATGAGATCCTTTCATTTGGTGTGTGTGTTTCATTGTAAGTTAAAAAACAAAACAAAACATTTTTAAGTGTAAAAGTCATTGGCATTAGGTACCTTCACAGTTTTTCAATCATCACTATCATCTATTTTATAATGATCGATATTTAAAAATTTCAAAGAATTTCCAACCACAAAACATACACTCACACCTCCAAACCTAGGTACACAATAACAATTTCATTTATGTATCCATTATATTTAAAACTATGCACAATGACAGAGCTAGTGCTATGACTTCAATTATACTTTTATATATGTATTTATTTATTTTTAAATAAATAAATACATATATAAAGATATGTTTCTATTGATTTTAGAAAGAGAGAGAGAGAATGAAAGAGGGGGAGGAAAAGAGAGAGAGTGAGAGATTGTCACCTGCATGTGCTCAAGTGGGGATCAAAACCACAACCTAGGTATGTGCTTTGACTAGGAATCAAACCCACAATCTTTTGGTATATAGGGATGATGCTTCAACCAACTGAGCCACCTGGACAAGGCAATGATACTTTTAAGTGGCTTTGTCTTATGATAGCAACAACACTCATTTTATCTACATTAGGAAACTGGTAATACATCTACATGAGAGACCACAGTTTACTCAGCCCAGAAACAGTGCCTGACATACATGTGGACCTGTAAACCCTTGCATAAACTCAGAAGTCCATACCTTGGGAATTGGTGGTTCTTCATCCACTACCACCTGAAAGGCAAAATCCTTCCATAGTGGAGGAAGGCAGGTGACTATGTCCTACAACACCCTGAAACTTACCATGCCTAAAAGTTATTTTTTCTCCACTACTAATAGGATGCGAGTGATGATAAATGTGATGTTTTGTGCTTATACATATTTGAATACATATGAAGGATGCAACATATTGCACGTTTCTTTAGCAGGCAAAGTTGATATGGTAAGTCATACCATATACAAAAGTCAAATTCATTAACCAAAACTGGGTTCAGTGCCTCAATAAAATAATACAGCACTATGCTAAGTTTTCCTTAATTACTTTTACACAAATATGCTGTATTTAAAAAAAAATATTTTTATTGATTTCAGAGAGGAAGGGAGAAGAAGAGAGAGATAGAAACATCAATGATGAGAGAGAATCATTGACTGGCTGCCTCCTGCACACCCCCTACTGAGGATCTAGCCTGCAGCCCCAGCATGTGCCTCTGACTGGAATTGAACCCAAACCCTTCAGTCCACAGGATGACGTTCTATCCACTGAGCAAAACTAGTTAGGATGAAGGTATACTATCTTAATGATATGAAGACTTAGTTTAAATATCACTTCCCAGATTAAGCTCTTCCCATTTTCCCTGGCAGAGTTGCTGATTAGTTTCACATGGCAATTTGATTGCATCTAATCTTGTCAGCATTTCCATGGAGTTGTAATTTGTCCATCTCCCACATTCCTAGTATACAGTTGGAACTCATTATCAGGGGTTGTTAAGTGACTGCACATATCCAAGTGCTATGGTGAAGACAGCTTTGGCCACTGAGAATCAAGTTTACAATTTGCCATTCCCAAGATTACCTTTGCATCAACATAGATTTTTAGCAGTGTCAGTAGGTTTAAGAGTAGATATGGAGAAGAGCCTACCTTCTAAAAGGCTAAAAACAAGAAAAAGAAAGAAGGAGTAAAGGAGGGAAGAAAAGAGAAAGAAGGAGCGGGGAGAGAAGGGAGGCAAGCCTGCTCAGCTCAGAAGAGAGCCATTTGAACACAGGGCAGAGTATAGTAAGGCTTGTGCCTCCTTGAGAAAAAACAATTGCAGAGGTGAGATTCTCCTTGAGGTTCTTTGTAGGGAGACCAGCTGCATGGAATCAAAGATCTGCACATTCCAGGCATCCTGGTTCTCAGAGAGCACTGAATAAGTAATACAGTGAAATTCACCCAGAATAAACAATGGGTATTGAAAGAACAAGTGGAAATGGAGGATCACTGAAGAGGCTCAAAATAAAGGTCCCATTTGTCCAAAAAGAACACTGTATTTTGTATGCTTTTAAAATTTGTCTTGGTTTTATATCTTGGTACAATTGTATTTATTTATTGAAGGTTTATTAATTGTGTTGAATGATAGTTTAAAAAAATAATTCTGACAGACATAAATTTAGGGTGATGGGTCCCTGAAAATGCTTAGTGGTCCAAAGCTAGAAGACCTTGGCCTGTGACCTTGTCTTGCCCAAAAGCTCCAGCTCAGTAGGTGACAGGGAACAAAAGAAATGGCAAAGCATAAACATGGAAACACTGGGCATTGAACATCAATGGCTGCTAACAGCTTCCTAAAGAGAAAATGAGATATTCAGTCTCATCTGATGGAAGCAAATGCTATGAAATAGTCTTGATAAACAAAACAAACAAAAAAATCAAGCCTGAATCTGACCAAGCCTTTAGAAATAATTTCTAACTTTTAGGAAATATAGGAGTTAGAAGGAGCTAGAGGAATATGTTACACTACCATAGGAATGCAATCAGTAAAATCCAGCCCAAAGGAAAATGAAAGACATTTATTCAATAAAGGAGTTGCAAGGGGGAGATAAGAGAAATTGGGGGAGGTTCTATTGATTTTTTTAAAAGGCTATTGTAATGTGTGGCTCTTATCTGAATACTGATTCAAACTATCTGCTTTTAAAAAGTATGATGCTTATGAGACCATTGGCAATTTGAACACTAATAGATATTTGATGATGTTAAAGATTATTGTTAATTTTTTAGGTGTGGCAATGGTGTTGCAGTTTTGTTTTAAAAAGAAACATTATCTTTTAGAGATACATGCTGAAATACTAAAATAATAGAGTAACTAGTATTTCAAATACTATTGGGGGGAGGTGCAAGGAATGTGTGACAAACTGTCCATGAGCTGACAATTGCTGAAGATGATCATAGGGTTCATTATGCTGTCTTTCTACTTTATTTTTTATTTATTTTTCTTTATTGATTAAAGTATTACGTATGTATCCTTATCCCGCTAGTGTCCCCCCAGCCCCCCTCCCCCCGCTCATGCTCTCTGGTGTCTGTGTCCATTGGTTAGGCTTATATGTGTGCAGGAAAGTCCTTTAGTTGATCTCTCCCCTTTCCCCCATCTTCCCCTACATTCCCTCTGAGGTTTAAACATCTGATCAATGTTTCTCTGTCTCTGGATCTATTTTTGTTCGTCAGTTTATGTTCATTATATTCCACAAATGAGTGAGATCATGTGATATTTATCTTTCTCTTACTGACTTATTTCCCTTACTATAATGCTCTCCAGATCCATCCATGCTATTGCAAATGGTAGGAGTTGCTTCCTTTTTACAGCAGCATAGTATTTCATTGTGTATATGTACCACCTTTATTTATTTAAAATATATTTTATTGATTATTTTTACAGAGAGGAAGGGAGAGGGAAAGAGGGTTAGAAACATCAATGAGAGAGAAACATTGATCAGCTGCCTCCTGCACACACCCTACTGGGTATGTGCCCGCAACCAAGGTACATGCCCTTGACTGGAATCGAACCTGGGACCCTTGAGTCTACAGGCCAACACTCTATCCACTGAGCCAAACCGGTTAGAGCTGTACCACCTTTTTTTTTTTTTTTAAATCCATTCATCTGCTGATGCGCACTTAGGATGTTTCCAAATCTTAGCTATTGTAAATTGTGCTGTTATGAACATAGGGGTGCATATGATTAACGTTTCTAGTTTCTTGGGATATGTTCCTAGAAGTAAGATCACTGGGTCAAATGACAGTTCCATTTTTAGTAGGAAACTCCATACTCTTCTTCACAGAGGCTACACAAGTCTGTATTCCCACCAGCAGTGCAAGAAGGTTCATTTTTCTCTGCATCCTCGCCAGCACTTGTCATTTGTTGATTTGTTGATGATAGCTATTCTGACAGGTGTAAGATGGTACCTCATTATCATTTTGATTCGCATCTTTGGAATGATTAGTGACTTTGA